AAAAAAAAAAAAAAAGGAAGGTTAATGGGAGTAATAAATAATAAATAATTATAGTTGCTTACGTTGTTAAGAAAAATAATAAATAATTACAACTGCCCACAACGCAGGCATCTATGTGACTGTTGCCCGCAAAATGCAGCCAGCTATGACGACAGCTGCCTACGACTACAGCTACCTGCAATGTGAAACGAATTATTATATAATAAAAATAAAAATCAAGCCTGCTCGGCTCGTAAATGCCCGAGCTGAACGCTCGGATCAAATTTTTTGGTTGAGCAAAAACTAAGCTCGGCTCGGACAAAAAAAAGTCCGAACCATTTTTACTCGAACAGAGCCCGAACTTTAGCTCCGCTCGGCTCGACTCAGGTTGACACCCCTACTCACTACACTTGATTTGATTTACTCAGTAGTACATGTGAAAACAAAAACAATAAAGTCAGTTTCTAAACTTAAAAGAACTAACTTGACAGTATAAACTATTAAACACGCTACCTAAACATTACATTTTTGTAAACATTTAGGATAGTTAAATAGTTCCTAAATTTATTGTAGGAAAGAACTTTAGTACCAATGATAGTTAAATGCTGATGAAAAAATGCGCGTGTGAAATTTCAAAATTCCTCAATTTTCTCAAATATGCAAACCATTTTGTTTTAATTACGAGATTGGAATAATAATAAACATATAATCTGTTAATGTTACGGAATATTTTCAAATGTCATTCTTATTTACTTTGTTTCTTAGTGTAGATTATAGAATACATGAATGAATAAGGCGGTCAAACATGCAAACGACAATAAGAGTAGCTAAGGAATTTTCAAAGTATACTGAGATTTCAATTATAATTATTTAGCATTCTAAGAACCCGTTTGACATGATTTTTTACGAGTCAAAAAAAAACTTTTGAGATTCAAAAATTCATTTGGCTAATTTTATGAAAGTATTTCTTCTAGTTACAAGACTTTTTAAAGAAATCTAATTCAATATGACTTTCTCTTAATGCATTTTTGAAATACAAAACTCCTAAAATTAATTTCCGAACAAAATTAAAATAATTTATTTCAAAAACCCCTCAACAGATCAAAAACCAAGCCAAATGAATCTTAAATTGCTGAAGTCAATTACACCTCTCTGTCTTTGACCGTGTTGCCATCCTTTATAGCTATGCAGGCTGACTTAAGAAATTCATAACTGCGTCGGACCATTGGTTTTTTAACGACATTAGCAGTAAACAACTCATGTTTGTTCAACATTTTTGTAAGCCTACGCAAAATAGAGCGATGAGGTTCAGGTTTAATATAGGAAAAGTCACACCTCAACATTTGTGGCAAAATCTTTTAAAAGTCAGTAATAACCAATTGATCAAATCATCATTCTCATCAATTAATCTCAAGAGTTGTCCCACAAATAAAACTACTTCGATAATGTCCTATGGACACAAAACTCCATAACCAAAATAATCAGGAATTTTCTGCTTCAAACTCGACAAGAAGATATTAACCAAAATATCCACCACTCACGGTGACTTATATTTCCACCATTTCATGCCTCACAATTCACATTAACACGCTCCAAAAATTTTATCAAGTTTGCTTGCCAGTTCGCTTTAGGTTTGAATCCAGGTGGTTCCTTTGGGAGTTTGGCATGTGATTCTTCCTGGTGCAAACATGAAAAGAACATACTCCCAGTAAAGCAAAACTGGATCTCCGGAAAGGCAAAATAAGACTGGAAAAGTGATTTTCCCTTCATTTTCTCAAGTACCTAAAAGTTCAAAGATTAAAGGCCGATATCACATACAATGAAAGGAACCAATTGCATAGAACATATAACATTCTTACTACAATATAATTCACCTCGCATCTTCTTTAGATCCAAATGAAGAAAAATAAGATTCAGTTTGATGCACATTTTTCAGAAAAGAATGCATTTTATGATATGATGTGATGGAAAATATGAAGTTAAAAACTAAGAAAAAGTTATGGATTTGCGCATAATAATATTTTATTGAAAAATGTATGGATGAAAATGAATTTTGAAAGAATGAATTTTGAGAAGAATGTGGATCAAACAGATTTCAGAATCTAAACAGGACTCAGAAATCCAGGCAATTTTCAGAAAAAGAAACAGCTTAATTTAAAGTGAAAATAAAACCTCTCTTCAAAACGAATTTCACTTTTTCTGCTGGAGGTTTCAGCCACAGATTTTCTTGAAATGAGTATATTTTTGCTAAATAAAAATACATTAACGTTATAGAATTACAACCAACCAATGAGAATCTACAATTAATCAGGAAAAGCAAGTAAAAATTTTTTTTTTGATAACCGTGGATGTTCGGGCCCGCTTGCCCGCACCTCGACTAATCCCACGGGACCCTGAAGTTTACGACCGGGTACTCACCTCATTGGCCCTGAGGGGGTTCGAATTGAGAAAAAGCAAGTAACATCAGCTATTAATCACAAGCTACAGAAAGAAAAAGACTATAATTTTCTGGAGAGAAATTAGTCTTTCACACTGCAGGATTCGAACACGAGGCTCCAGGAAGTGGAAACATTTATAGCAGAGATCCCAAATTTTAAGGAAGGTTATAGAGCCAAACAGGAAATTAGAAGGAATAAAGATATACAAGAGAACTTAAAAGAAGCTAGAGGGGGAAAACATGAATGAGATAAAGGTAAACAAGAACCAGATATAAATTTACTACTGTAATAACACATTTAACCACTCCTTAGCGTTCTTTGAGCATCAAATTTGAAGAAACATGCAGCCAACAATGATGCAATGAAACCAAAAATTTTCTTAGGAAGAACTTCAAACAGACATGAAAACAAATGGAAAGGAAACGAACTAGAAAAACATATTTAACCATCTATTTATTCTTTCAGCTTAGAGTCCAAGGAAAAAAATTCAGGAAAAAAATGACTAGGTAAGTAGCTGCACTAGGCACATACATGGACAGTGATCTTGACATATAGGCTCTGAATAGTGAACATACAAAAATTTGATTGTTTCTCTGTACCATACACTTATGATGTCATTGGTTTCCACATCCAAGCATCATGCATCTTTTTCCTGAAAACGGATACAAGATTAGTCAACCATGAGATTAGCTTGCAGATATGACGAATATTAGCAATAGACTAAAATTAAAGCACAATATTGAACAATTAGTCCATGCATGGTACACAATATCAATCATGACTAGACACTAACGAATAAGATTCTTTTGCTTCACTTTTCTTCCTTAATTTTGTCGAATATAATCCTCCCTACCAATCATGCCCTTAAGCTTCCTCTTTCATAGTTCCAGTTTCGAAATACTTGATAGGTTATTTCTTAAATAAAATAAATTTCGACTTCAAACCAATTCCCAGAGAACAGATTATACCTCAACACATTCGACGCTAAGTCACTAATATTCTTTACATCTATGGTCCATTATAAATTACGAAGATTTCAAAAAATGAGCTTATTGATGTATGCAGAGTTCTTTTGATTTCATTATAAAGACCAAACAAATGACAGTACTTGATTTTAACATCAAAACTGCCAGACAAAAAATGGTTTTCTTTCAAGCAAGCATATTGTATGGATGTAAAATAGAATCTTTTGATCAGTAGAAAAAAGATCTTCATTCCAGTATCTCTACTAACTATCGAATTTTCAGTCTCCTGTGCTTTTCAATAATTAGAAAGTTAACTGCATACTTGATATGTAATACCAAGTTTCTAAGCTATGAAGATCATAGACAAAGTTCATAGAAAATTAGCCAATGCTGTCTACAAATTTGGCATGCACCACATAACAAAACGTCTACCTGCTCACCCAAAATAAATACAACGAAAAGAGAGAGAAATAGAAATATGTGAGAGAGAAATCTGCAATGCCCTTAAAACCTCTCACTAATAGATGCGACAAAAACTATGAAACTAACAACATAGACAACAGGTGAATGAACTAGAATACTCGGATAAAATCTGCTAAAGGTTTTATAGAGAGGAGGAGCAGAAGAAGAAGAGGAGGAAGAGGAGGAAGGAGGAGGAGGAGACGGAGGAGGATTGGACGTTCATGAATAATTCAGTTTTGAGCGATTTTAGTATCAAATTTTTAATAGTATAATCCATACTTGAGAATTTGAAGACAGTTCTGATTTTTTTTTTTTTTTTTTAAAAATATCTATTTCATGGCGTCACAAATAAAAAAATTTATATGCCACAATTTATTTGTCGATCACAAATTTTCAAATTAATTAGTTACAAATTATCGAACAATTAAAGAAGAAGTCTAGGAGGAGGAGGAGGAGCTCACATAAAGCCCCCGTTTGGCCCCCATTATCCCAAAAATTGATTATTCTCTCTTATTTTTAACCACACAATCTTCCATAAAATAAATATTACACGTAAATCGAAAATTTTTCCTTCTTTTTCAACCACACATTTTCCCCAAAAAAACACTATTCCACGGGCCAAACGGGGGCAAAGGATGTAGTGGACTGACAAATCTCACATTCGTTGCACTATAGGAACATAAAATATGATGTAAATTCCAAAATCGATTACCACACTTGGTATTTACCAATTTGATATCCCCAGCCAGTCCCGAGTCACAAAAAGAAACTTCTGCTGCACAGTTAGCATGGACTATGAGGCCCATATCATCACTGTCATGCACATTTCCTGATCCCCCTTGTGAGGATGGGTTAGTCGAGTAAACAGCTCCTTTGAACATCCATTCACCCGTTTCTTGACAGTAGAAGTCTTCAAACAACTCACCACACAGAATACAGGCGCATTGACTTTCGTCTGCAGGAACCAACGGCTCACAGTTTTCCGAGCTCAATAGATCTGAGGTCCCATCAATGGGTTGGAGGGAAGCAATTCCTGCAACCCAATCGTCTGAACTGGTGTACCATTTCCGTGAAGTCTTACTCGAAGAATCCTGTCCAGGGGCCCTCAATGCGTGCCATTTCATGTGTCTATCAAATTGTTCTTGAAGCTTGAGTCTCAGACCACACATGCCGCACTGATGAGGAAAGTCATCAAGAAGTTCAATGACCACAGCTGGATGAAATTCCCGGACTACATCAGGCCTAAACTCAAAACCAATAAGATTTTTTATCTTTGTCGTCATAGACTGAGGCAAGCCATCAAAGATCTTAGCATCAGGCCCGTGCGAAGATAGCTCATCTGTGGTAGATGGAAGAGGTTTATCTATGGCAACAGTACCAGAAGAATCTGCAGTTGTACTACTGCTTATAGCCCCCGTATCTAGGTCTGGAGGTTGAGTTGGTATACTGGAAGGAGCTAAAGATAGTGAATCTTTCTTGGATGCAGATATCAAGCCTTTTTCAACCAAAGAGCTCAAAAGACTAGATACTGGATTAGAGGCAGGATTTACTGCACTTGGTTTCTCTTCTGAGCTACTAGCTGTTAAAGATGAGGCCTGGAGACCAGGTGGCAGTGGTGTTCCTTGTACCTTTCCATGAGAAAATGTGTGGACTAATGTGCTTCCATGTAATGATGGCAAGGATGTTAAGTCGGTAGGAGGTCCACTTGGAAGAGGAAGTTGTGCAACTACCTGATCTGACACACCCTCAGCCCCTAGAAAACTTGATTTATGTAAGTTATGCACACTAGAACTTATTTCACTATTCACTACGGCAGCCAACAAAGTGCTGGTATTTGATTGTTCTGGGGAGTCAGAAGTGGTAGAGCAGTTCTCAATACCGGAATTTTGTGGCAGCGACCGTTTCTGAGCTTCCCCAGAAGACAGTTCAAGCTTTTTCTGTTGATTAGATGGAACATGGTTCCTCAGCTGAGGGGGCATTACAGTAGACAATGTCTTTAAACTTTGGTGCTGCAATCTATGTGAGCTACTTAGACGGACATCCTGTGGTGGCATAGACACAGAATCCTGAGAAAACTGGTTACGTGGCCCTATATTTCTTTGTCCTGAAAATTGGGGCCGCCTTGGATCTACAAGACGTGGGGTGGAGTTTTGTTCTTGATCAGCAAAATTGTGAGGTAATTGATTTGGATTGCATGCTGAGTGCGAAGGTGAAGGAGGTCGCTGGTGCATAGGTGATTGAGATACAGTCCCCGGAGTCTGTCGTGTTATTGATGGCATGGACCCCAACATGGCATTTGTAGAAAAGCTAAAGTTTGGTGCCCCACTAAGGCCTTGGCCCATCTGTGATTGAAAAGTCCTGTCCAATGACTTTGCAGAGCTTGAAAATGAAGCATGATATCCCTCACCTGATATATTTCTATCCGGGCCTGAAAGTCTCCTTTCAAGTGGATGCATCTCCTGCTTCAATGATGCCATTCGATTCCCAGGAACTACCTGGCCAGGATTTTTAGTTAGAGAAACAGTGGGTGCTTCATCATCAACCCTTGACCCAATGAAATGTACATTTTGGGGCCTTTGGATATGGTTCTCAAAGTCCTGCACAATAAATATCGAAAATAAATTTGGTCGAATGGCTGGACACACTGATATAGTTCAGCAATATGACTACAGGAAAAAAAAAAAAACAAATTAAGCCCTATTGAATAAATTTGATGCCAGTTACATAAATCCTTTTGCCAATTCATTCCGCTCATTGCTACATCTACTTCTACTGGAAGATCCAAAACTAAATCAAACCATGTTACTTTATGTACACCCCTCCCTCTATTATAATAGAAATAATCCCTAACCAAATTTGAACCGGCTGTTATTTTGTGGTTTAACAATCCATTGAACCTCCATAAAACTTACCAATCTTTCAAATTCATCAGGTATCCACAGATCTTTATCTGAGATATCAACAGCACCACTGTCTGTGGGTCTTGAGTTTATATCATCCCACATATACTCCTCTTCCTCAGAGTTCTTCCAGCTCCTCATCCCACTGCTGCTTCTATTCCCAAAGTTTTGCTTTAGTTCTAGATGTGAGTCAGGGTCTGTAGATTTATGGGCTGGATAGCTTTGAAATTCACGCTTCATGTCAAAACCATTCTGTTGATCAAATACTTTCCCAGTTACATCTCTACCAGATTCATATAGCAGCTTTCCATGTTTATGTATTTCACTCGCTCTTCCAATCCCCAACTGTGAATGCTTTGATGAATCAGAACCGTAGTCAGAATCTCCATATGTTACACTTAAATTTTTGGGACAAGCAGGTTCATTTACTTGATCATTACGAGGACGCTGGATGTTCTGCAAGTTTAGAGTAATTTAGAACACAGATTGTGAAAGATTAAACACAAAACATCTCAATACTATATTTTTCCACATGCACCTTAACATATGGATCAGTCCACGTTCTTCCCGAATTAACACTGGTTCTCTTTGGTCCTTCAACATCATCAGGTAAGTTCATCAAGTTTTTACTATTGTCACCGGCAGCTCCTCTCACCTTCATCACGTTAAGACAACATATATTAAGAACAAAAAGATGCACACATGTTGTTTCTTAAGAAGGATAGAGCATTAAAATACCCCAAAGAACAATTCCCCCCTTCCCCCCCCCCCCCCCAAAACCAATTCTTCCGACATAAAATTTAAGAAAAGAAGTAACAATCCCCTGGATGAAACAAAAACAAATAAAGAAAAAATAAAACAAACTCAAACACAAACACAAACACAAACACATTGTAAATTGTGTCGAGACGGAAAAGTTTAAGCAGGGTAATCCGTATATCAACCAAGTACAATAACGTGGGTATCTGGGAATGCAAGTATAGAAAAGGTTAAAGGAGGACAGCTCCCTCTCCTGTTTAAGATCCACTTTTTAAATTCAGTGTGTGTTTGGAACACATTCTTTAAAAGAATGTATTATTGAATAGTAGATTGGTGTAGAATGTGTGATTAAAAATGAAGGAAAAATTATTGATGTGATGAAAAATATTATTTTATTGAAAAATGTGTGGTTGAAAATGAGTAGAAGAATGAGAATGAAAAAGATAATGTGTACCAAACAGGGTCTTAATCCTTACACGCTGCAAAATACATACAAAT